ACGAGAGCCTTTGGCTTCGTCCTCCTCCGAGGTGGTCCCTCGCTCTCCAAAGGGTGAGACTCTTTGGAGGAGGCCGACTGAGATGGAAACGGGGTGCGCGTGCTCAAGTCGGAGCTGTGCTTGCACACGGATCGGAACTCCAGATGGAGCGTCAGCTCTCCGGTCAAGGACAAGGACACGGGCAATCGGGCTGCAGCCCTCACTGTCCCTAGTCTCCAGCTTGGTCCCCTTTGCGGTGCAGGCCGGGGTCGGCGTTTCAGCACCTTCCCCTCTCCCGTTGCAGACCAGGAGCAAGAGCAGTTCGAAGAGCATTTTGCAGTCTCCTCAGTGGGTGAGATGTGGGAGGTGGTGGACATGGCCCAGCAAGAGGACAAGACATCGGAGAACGCAGCTCTCCGCGACCACCTCGTTGACCTGGCCTTCTGCTTCAATCTGGCCAGCATCGTGGTTTTTTTATGAGGGACGTTGAGGCTGAGGTGGCGGCCTGGCTCCTGGACGAGGGCCTGGATAGCTACCTCCACTTCGTGATCGCTTACTGACCCTCTCTTCCCTGGGCTCCAGGTCTCTATTCTCAAGGGAGACGTACACACGGCTTCCTGCCCCTTGCCAGTGCCCCTTTACCTCAGGACGCAGCAGCAGAGGACCCCGGCGCTGGTTTTCAGCTGCCCATCGGCACTGCCCCCTGCCTCCCCACGCTCTGAGCGCCATCTCCCCAGGCCAGAGCCCAGGGACCCCAGCCCTTCTCCCTCCCATGCCCCTCCTGGCTTTGTTCAGTAAAGCAGATTAGGGGGAGGAGGCAGCTACAAGAAAAATAATAGCAATAAAATCCCGAAAACCATTGGGAGACTTAGCCAAAGCCCTCTTATCTCGAACCGGTCTATTTAAGGGCTCAGCCCCGGCGTCGACCTTCAGACCCGCCAGGTCACCAGCCATTACCTCTCTCCTTCCCTCGTGCCTAGAGAACACTGCTCGGAATTTCCTCTTCCTGTCTTTCTGACTTTTCGGCATAGAACATAGCAGGAAAGAGCCATTAAGAGACGGGCAGAAGCCAAGTGCCAGATTTTATTTTTGGAGGAGAGAGGAGACGCTGTCCTGACTCCATGGACGGGCAGGGAGACAGTGACACGTCTGCACCAAGGGCCCTTTGGTGGCCGGGTCACCAGAGTTGGCAGTGGCGGGAGGGGTTCATGAGGGTGCCGTGTGGACAGCGGAAATGTCTGGCGAAGGCTGGGGTGCTGCTGAGGGGCCCGTGGACGCGCAGGACGGGAGGGCTGTGAGTACCCCGAGACTCCTGGGTGCCGGGCTCCCTACACATTACCTGGGAGGAAGAGGCGCACACGGGGAAAGGAGGAGAGAGGGGTGGAGACGGGTCCGTAGGCAAGACCCGGAGACCGGGTGGTGACCAGGGACAGCAGGCAAAGACAAGGGCAGGGGCAGAAGTGTTTGCCATTGGCAGGTCGGTTGATCAGGCAGTGGGCATCTGGGGAGCGGGGGGTGGTCTGGGTCTATTGGAAGAACTCTGCGGGGGGGTCTGTGAAAGTGGGGGCGGTGTCTGTTGAGGGAGCACGTGGTACTTAGAGGGTCATGTCGGGTGGGGACCATGTCCGGGGGTGAGGTCTCAGAGGAGAAATGTCGTCAGTCTATATATAGACAGTCCGTTAAGGCTCATTTTTAAGGGGTTCGTGTTTCTAAGAGAAGAAATGAGAGAGGAAAAAAGCTGGGCTCATCTCAGGCAGGGCGTTAAGGGGAGAGCTTTTTTGTTTTTCTTTTTTCTTTCCTCTCTCTCTCTCTCTCTCTCTCTGTCTC